TCATCCGGGTCACTAATTATTGGTCTGCATTCATATTTAAGACATGGACACCTAACTCCTCATTCGCTTCGACAATACTCCTGAGCAAATGCCCACATGATAAACTCATTAACTCCATCTATAAAATGAGGTTTAAGTGCACGTCTTCTTAAATACAATCTATAGTACATCCAACTACGACCATACCGATAATATTTCATACTGCAAATTTATACAATCATTGTCTTATTATTAACTATAATTAAATTTTATAACTATTTTGAATATATATATATATATATATATATATATATATATATATATATATATATATATATATATATATATATATATATATATATATATATATATATATATCAAATTAAAAAAAAATTCAATAAACAACCAACAATCCAATTAATATATACATATATATTAAATTCAAAATATAATTAAATAACATAAATATCTATTATTCAATCTCCTTCTAACTTCTTGTACAACCAATCTTCCTTCTAATCTCTTTAATTTCTTGACAAAAAAAACATAAATCAATATCACAAAATAATATTAACCTTAAACGAAAATATTAAAAATAAATTGAATAAATATTAGACAACTTACCTTTGTTACAAATGAAATTTGGAATTGAATTTGGATGTTATTATGAAGAACAAGGTTGAATTGGAATGGAAGAAGATAGACATAAGAAAGAAAGAAGAAAAGAAAGTAGAAGAAAACACAAATGGGTTTCTGGAAAGAGAGATTGAGCGAATATCTTTATTAACCAATCAGCGACGTAAATTTCACGTCGCAACCTTGCCACGTGAGATTCACGTCGCAACCCCCAACATTATAATTTAAATCAACATCAACCAATCAACGACGTGAATTTCTCACTGCAACCTTGTCACTTGAGACTTACGTTGTAACTCCCAACGTTATAATTTAAATATCAACCAATCAACAACGTGAATTTCATGTCGCAACCTTGCCACATGAGATCCACGTCACAACTCCTATAACGATTATATTTTTTATTCAGTCAACCTGCATGTTTCAGTATCACTTCACGTCAAAGTCGGGCGTTTTCCCTCTTAAAAATCTGCGACGTGTTAAACACGTCACAATCCATTTTTTTGAAAAATTCAAAATCCCCCCTTCAAAATGCCTGACGCTTTGTATATTTTTATTCTACTTTTTATGTTGTGACGTGTTTCTCACCTTGAAATTTTTTCATACAAAAACAAAGTCTGACTGGCATAGACCAAACCTTGCTTTTATTATTTAAATGTTAAAATAACGTAGTGACGTGATTATCACGTCGCAACTGCTAAATTTTTGTGACATGATAATTACGTCACAAAAACACGTCGCTGGAAAACATATTTGTTGTAGTGATATATATATATATATATATATATATATATATATATATATATATATATATATATATATATATATATATATATATATATATATATATATATATATATATATATATATAAGACTTTCTTATCCATGTAAAAAAAGAGGCTAAATGAACTATTTAAAAGCCTTAATGTAAATAAAGTTTTTAAATAGTCTTTTAGTTCAGGCCAGACTTTTAAAAAGGCCAGGTATGATCAAAATAAAAAGTCTATAAAAGACCATAAGTCAAACCCAGGTCTTAAAAATTTATTGTAAGACAAGCTCTGGCCTTCTAAGACTTGGCTGACCTGACATATTCTCACCCCTAATTACAAATACGTTCTACTAATATTTAGAGAGTATAGTGACACACTTGTGTAAGGGTGATAAAATAGTCTGGATCTTCCAGCATGTCTGTTTAAGTTAACTTTTGGACATGCTAAATCAAGGTTTCTAGCTCACCTACTTTATTTTCCCCGACCCATCCCATTTTTAGTGGGTATTAGAGGAAGATGATGACACTTTGCCATCATATAAATTTTATAATCATTTGAATGTATTTTTATATCATGGGTTAAATAAGTTTTTGGCTCCTCTAAATATAATAAATTTCATTTTTAGTCCCTCTAAATATTTTCTTCAAAGAATGGTCCCTCTAAAATTTTCCATCCACACTTTTGGTCTCTCCTGCTAACGTCTGTTAACATACCTGATATAACACTAACACGTGGCAGTTCCAGCTGTCAAAGAGGCTGATCTGGCATGCCACATGACTAAGGTCAAGAATATAATGTAGTCCGTAAAATTTTGTAGTTAATCTCTAGCAAATCTATTTTAGGAATTCTGGTTTTTTTATCAAGGTTTTAAACAAATTAAATTACCCAATACAAAGTAATATGAGATTCAAATTTATCAACATTAGTCTTCTCCCGTACACACTATCACCACCGATGGAAAGATGCCACGCACAACCATTCGAACACAGATCCGATGTCGTCGATACCCCACGGGCAACACTTCCCGCCGCTGCGATTTCGTGTCACACCGTCATGAGAGGTATGCTTTTCTTTTGCCACTTTTTGTGAGAATGTTGTGGTGATTTTACTGTACTTGTTTATTGTTTTTTGAGAGAAATATTAAGAAAGGAGAGAAAGAAGAGTACAGTCGAGAAAGAAGGGTACTTCCATTCGTCGTATAATGAAATCTTTGTTTAGATACTTTGACAATGAAAGTTTATGGACTATGGACCATGGTCTTGCCTTTCACGTTCTAAAAGATATGCTATTTTCACTTGATGAGTCTGGTATAATATTCTTCATATTAGATTTATAATTATTTACTGGGAATTATCTATTTAATGCATTGATTACTTCATAAAAGCGGTTTTTAAATCATTATTCTCTTCTAATTTGTCTTCCATTTTTTCTCATTCTGGTTGTTGCAGGGAAAAACACGCATGTTTTACTGTCAATATTAATTAAGCATATGATCATAAATTAGTTCTAAAGAAACCCAACATTCAACTGGACATTATTGAAGTGATTTTTTCACTCACATCAATATACCAAGGTGCAACCTTCTGTAGCAATAATCTGCGCATTAAGTGATTTAATGAGACATTTGCGGAAGAGCATACAACATTCCCTTGATGATTCAAATTTGGGCACCGAAACAGTAAATTGGAACAAAAAATTTGGAGAAGCGGTCAACAAGTGCCTTGTACAGTTATCAATTAAGGTATCACATTTTTCACAGCGTTTAATCAAGTTTATATCAAAACTTTCAAAATGATTAAGTCATAAATAAATGTTTTGAATGACCCCAACTTTATTGATTTTATGTTGTCTTTTAAATTTTATAAAGCTTTATGATTTAGAATTACGATAAGTTACAAGTGTTGTCATTTCTTGTTAGATGTATCAAAATAGAAGTCAACTAAGAGGCTGATCATGAACAGGTTGGAGAAGAAGGTCCAATTCTTGATGATATGGCTGTTATGTTGGAAAATCTTTATTATTAAAGTAATATCGAGAGCCACAGTCACTGTTGTGTTGTATTTGGTTTGCAAGAAATTGTTTGTATTAAGCAATGTAATTTGCTATGTAATTTAATTGTTTGCAAGAAATTGTTTATATGCTATGTAATTTGTTGATGCTACAAGAAATTGATATACTATTGTGTGAAAAATGAATAATTTGAATCTCATATTGCTTATATATTAAGCAATTTAATTTGTTTAAGACTTTGATAAAAAAATTAGAATTTCTAAAATGGATTTGTTAGAGATTAGCTATAGCTTACCTACAATATTTTATGGACTATATTATGTTCTTGACCTTAGCCATGTGGCATGCCACGTCAGCATCTTTGACAGTTGGAACTGCCACATATTAGTGTCACGCCAGCTCTGTTAACAGACTTTAGCAGAAGAGACTAAAAGTGTGGATAAAAAAAATTTTAGAGGGATCATTCTTTAAAGAAAATGTTTAGAGGGACTAAAAACGAAATCTATTATATTTAGAGGGACCAACAATTTATTTAACCCTTAAATCATTTTTTTCAGGTGATTTTGGTCAAGTTTTATAAAGAAATAGGAAAAAAACGAAGAAGTGAAAAAACAAAGTAAAAAAATGGAAAAGTAGAGAAATTGTGAAGAAAAGAGGATTTTCAGCATAATTTACATCATGGTGAATATTCAATAATTTAATCATATCTAGAGTTTCGTAATTAGGATTGAGGCGAGACCGATGAAAAATGAAAGCTAACACAAAAAAGTGACCACTGAAAAAATCACAACCACATTGTGGTAAGATAACATCATAACACGATATAAAGGCATCGTGGCGCGATGACTCACTTTTTCTGTCACATTTTTTGTCACATTTTTATGTCTAAACAAAATAGACACAACTTTTTCTCATTTTTAAATTTAAAGAGTAGTATGGTTCACGAGATCCACACTTGTTTTTTCCCATGACAAACCTAATTTCTTAACCCATACTTCTATTTTATTCTATTCATTTTTGACGAGTTTTGACGGGATAGACATGCTCATTTGTCACCCTTACACCTTGTTATTAAATCTAATTAATAAAAAATCTAACATTATTATAGAACCATTATTATAAAACCATTATAAAAACAATAAAGTAAGAAAACAAGTATTTTAGCTCCCCATGTCAACAACAACACAGCTCACACCAACAGTAAAGAAACCAATATATTCAAAAACACTTCTCCTGTCCTTAATTTGTCCTCCTCAAACAGTTACTCTCCTGTTCTTCTCTAATTACATTATAATAACACACCATATCCGCTTGTCTGTCTTTTATTTTTCTTTAGTTTTTGTGTTTTCTCTTTGTACTTGAGTTGATTCTTTGAAAGGTATCGCATCTCTTTTATCTTGTAGCCAATATAATAAACAAACAAAACAAAAATAGACAGTTTTTATTTTTATCAAACCCTTTACTTGATTCCCATCCATTAACTGCATCTAATTCTCTCTTTTTTTTTACCCTATCATCATCCATTAGAGTAAGTTAGTGTGTGAGCATCATATGTTAGGTCATCATAAACATATATACCTATCTTTTTTCTTTCTTTTCAGCTCTATGAGTGAGTTTGACTTTTTTCTTAACCCTTAATCATTCCTATATTTCAAGGATCATGACAATTGAAATGAAAGAAAAGTAATCAAACTCAATTTGGTTTCTCACACATCATCAACAATCATCGTCATCAATAAAATTCAGAAATATATACTACAACAGCAGTTCTGGCTAATCCTTGGTGGACAATTCAAGGAGGGTTATCTGGTGTTGACCCAGGAACCCATTCACCTACCGGTTATAACAAACATCACAACACAAACCTTACGATTAACGAGAATCGTGATGAAGAAGAAGAAGACGATGATGACAACAGAGATGAACCGAGAGAAGGCGCGGTTGAAGTTGGAAACCGGAGACCAAGAGGAAGACCACCTGGATCTAAAAATAGACCTAAACCTCCTATCTTTGTAACAAGAGATAGTCCAAATGCTTTGAAGAGCCATGTGATGGAGGTAGCTGGGGGAGCCGACATAGCAGAAAGTGTAGCGCAGTTTGCAAGGAGGCGTCAACGCGGTGTTTGTGTTCTCAGTGGAAGTGGCTCTGTGGCTAATGTTACTCTTAGACAACCTTCAGCTCCTGGTGCTGTTGTAGCACTGCATGGTAGGTTTGAGATCTTGTCCTTAACGGGAACGTTTCTACCTGGTCCTGCTCCACCAGGTTCAACTGGTTTAACAGTGTACCTGGCCGGAGGTCAGGGTCAGGTAGTTGGAGGTTGTGTTGTTGGAGCTCTTGTTGCAGTTGGGCCTGTTATGCTTATTTCCGCTACTTTTACTAACGCGACTTATGAAAGACTTCCACTCGAAGATTCTGATAATGATAATGAAAATAACAATGAAGGGCCTAGTTCTGCGGCCGCCATGCAAGGAGCAGGGTTAGGTGGATCTCCTCCATCGGGAATTGCTCATCAGTTACAAGGTGGGATTCCAGATCCATCTTCTATGCCTTCGTATAATTTGCCACCAAATTTGTTGCCTAATAATGGAGGGCAGATGGGACATGAGGCCCTTGCTTGGGCTGCTGCTCATGGAAGGCCACCTTATTAAGTTGACTTGTGTGAATGAGAGGTAGAGATCATATATCTGAAATGAAATTTAGATCTGTGAATTTGTTATCTTGTATTTTGAAGGATAGGTATTGGAAAACGTTAGAAAGGTGCTGAGTTTAAGTAATTGTGAAGAAGAATGAAGCATGCTTCTTAGTAATAATGATGTGTATATGGATTATGAACTTCTTTTTGTTCTTTTTATTTCTCTTTTGCTTCTGTGTTTTGAATAAAAAATTATGACTGTGAGTGTCTTTTTATGTAGGAATTTCGTGGTTTTAGTTTAAATATGTTGAAAGAGGTTGATTTGATGATTACACTTCATTGTTATTCCATTTAGCTTAGTTATATGCGGTGTTTAAACTCTGAGTTAAACATTAGCAACTTCTGACATTCATTTACTCTTTTTATGCATGTTGCAAATTAGGGTTTGTGAACACAAACTTTTTCTACATCTGGACATTCATTGCTGCAGTGAATTTATAGTGCTGCTGCTCAAATCTCATTGTCCCTCTAAAGGTTGGGATGTGTAACGTTTTCCTGTATTAAAATTTATTAAAAGTCTTAAAATTTGACCTTGGATCAGATATGTATTTGACGTGTGATTTTTAAAGAATTATTCTAATATAAACCTCTCAAAAATAGTTTATGAATGTTAGAGAAAAAGAACAAACTTTTATATTTTATTATTTTAATAAAATATAATCTTGGTTTTTATATAGATTTAAAAATTTCTATTATTTTAAGAAAGTAACTGCTATTAGTAAATACTATTATAACCTACTATCTCTTGATCTTTCAATTATATTTGATTTTTAACCTTCCCACTACCTTATTAATAAAACTCCACTACTAATATTATTTAAAGTTTATTCAACAAAACTCTTCTGTAAACTTAAATGTTTCTTTCATCCACCATGTCTATCAATTTCTTGCCTTTGTCGAAATTTTCTTTCGACAATGGTTTTGTGAAAATATCTGCTGCTTGATCCTTGCTTGCTACATGCCTCAACTCGACACTTCCTTCCTTCACATGTTCTCGAATGAAGTGAAATCGAAGGTCAATGTGTTTGCTTCTTTCATGGTTTACTGGATTCTTTGCCAACTCGATTGTTGATTTGTTGTCCACTTATGTTACATCTGTGCCTTCCCGTTTTAGCTCCATTTTGCTCATCAATCTTCTAAGCCATACTGCATGACATACACACCAAGATGTTGTCACATATTCAGCTTCACATGTCGAAAGTATTACTATTGGTTCCTTTTTAGAAAGCCAAGTAAATGTTGTGTTTCCCATGAATAACACGTATCCATAAGTTCTTTTTCGACCGTTTATATCTCCGCACCATTCACTGTCAGAGTAACCAACTAACTTGTAATCTTTTGTTCTTGAATAGAACATTCCAAATGACACTGTTCCTTGGATGTACCTTAAGATTCGTTTCAATGCCTTCCAATGTGAATGTACTGGCTCTTCCATGAATCAACTTACAATGCCAACACTTAATGAAATGTTTGGTCTTGTGCATGTGAGATATCAAAGACTACCTATCAAGCTTCGATATTTGCTTACTTCGACACGTTCTCCTCCATCAAATTTCGACAGTTTTGCGCCTGGTTCCATTGGCGTCGAAGTTGGATTGCAGTTTTTCATCTTATATTTTTCTAAGATTTCTTTTGCATATTTCTCTTGTGAAATAAAGATTCCAGTTTCTTCTTGTCGAACCTCCAGACCAAGAAAGAATCTCATCAGACCTAAGTCTGTCATTTCGAATTCGCGTGTCATGGTGTTCTTGAATTCTTCTATCATTTGAACATCACTGCCTAGAAAAATAAGATCATCAACATAGAGAGCAACAAGTAATATATTACTTCCATTTTTTTTTCACATAGAGGGCATGTTCATACAGACATTATTCGAACCCATTCTCCTTGAAATATGTGTCTATGCATGTTTTCCATGTCCATGGTGCCAACTTCAGCCCATATAGCGCTTTCTTCAATTTTAACACCTTCTTGTCTTCTCCAATTCTCATATACCCAAGTGGTTGTTTGACATAGACTTCTTCTTCGAGTACACCATTCAAAAATGTTGTCTTGACATCTATTTGAAATATTGGCCACTTGAATTGAGCAACTTGAGAAATGAGCAATCAAATTGTCTTCATTCTTGCAACAGGTGCAAACACTTCGTCATAGTCAATTCCTGATTTTTGTTTGTATCCCTTTGCAACAAGCCGCGCTTTGTATCATTCGTTTTCTCCTTGAGCGTTCATATTTTCCTTGAATACCCACTTTACACCCATGGGTTGACTACCTTTTGGCAATTCGACTAGCTCCCAGGTGTTGTTGCGGTCTATTGCTCTAATATCTTCGTCCATGGCACTTTTACACTTCTTGTCTCGTAACTCATCTTTGAAACTGATGTTTTCAGCAACTTCCAGAAGGCACACAAGGTGTACCTCATTTCTCGAATCATATAAATCTTGCAAACTTTGCATTCTGGGTTGTAGAGGTTCATCTTCATTTTCAGTATCTTCACATTCTGTTGAAATGCTTGTTGGTATAACAACAGATGATTCTTCGATTACGTCAATAACTTCTGTCAAATTATTCCAGTCCCACTTGCTCGCTTCGTCTATTCGAACGTCTATACTCACGATCACTTTCTTGCTTGTGGGGTATAATAGCTTGTACCTTTTTGTCTTCTCATCATATCCAATGAATATATACTTTTGACTTTTGTCTTCAAGTTTCGTTCTTTGTTGATCTGGTACATGTGCATAAGCTACACTACCAAATACTTTGAGATGAGAAACGGTTGGCTTCTGTCCACTCCATGCTTCTTGTGGTGTTTGATCTTCTAACTTTGAATGTGGACATCGATTCTGATCATAAACAACACATTGTACAACTTCTTCCCAGAATTCTTTCGACATGTTCTTGCTCTTAAGTATTGATCGAATCATGTCAAGAATAGTTCAATTCTTTCTTTCAGCCACACCATTTTTCTAAGGTGAGTATGGCGCAGTTAGGAATCTCATTATGCCCTGCTCTTCATAATACTTCATAAAGTCCGTCGAAGTGTACTCACCACCTCTGTCAGATCGAACTGCTTTGATATGTCTGTCATTTGCCTTCTCCACCATTACTTCGAACCTTTTGAACACCTCTAATGCTTCAGACTTTTCTTTCAAGAAATAAACCCAGGTCTTTCGTGAGAAATCATCGATAAAAGAAGTGAAATACCTTTTTCCACTGAAGGATTCTGAAGTGATTGGCCCACATATGTCAGTATGAATCAATTCGAGAATTTGCTTAGCTTGATATTCTGCCTTCTTTTGAAATGAGGTTCTTATTTATTTGCTGAGCACACATTCTTCACAAAACTTTCCTTTATAATCCATGTCTAGTAGTCCATGCACCATGTTCCTTTTCGCCAACCTTCTCAAACCAATATGATGTAGATGACCAAAGTGCATATGCCATAGTGACACCTTGTCTTGCATTTCGACTTGTATACATTTCTCTCGAACGTTCCTCAGATTCAGTTTGTACATTCGATTTCTTTCCATTTCGACACAAGAGATCAAATGTCCTACTTTGTCCTTCAAATTAAGTATTCGATCTTTTATAAGTATCGAAAAATATTTTTCTGTAAGTTGTCCCAAACTCAAGATGTTGGTCTTGAGATCTGGTACATAGTAAACATTTTGGATTGATCCAATCAAGTCATCCTTATGCAAGTAACAAATTGTGCCCTTTCCTTCGACCATTACTTTCGATGCATCTCCGAAAGACACATTACCATCTTCAATTTTTTCATTTCTTTAAACAGATGTTTGTAACCACACATGTGATTACTTGCTCCTGAGTCAAGATATCAAACATGGTCATTATTGGTGTTGATTTTATTTTGAGCCATCAGGAGAAAACCTTCATTCGTTTCAGCTTCCAAGGTTAGATTGATTGTTTCTTCTACCTTCTTTTCGATTCAACAATCTTTTGCAAGATGTCCCACTTTATCACAGTTATAACATTTGTAGGAATTGCAATCCTTCGCGTAATGACCATACTTCCCACATTTGCAGCATTCGAAGTTGGAGTGGTTCGATCGACCACCTCTTTGACCACATCCTCTGCCACACCAATTTTGTTGGTTCGAATGTCCTCTCTCGAAGTTGTTGTCTCGACCACTTCGACTACTGTCACGACCTCGATGGCCACGTCCTCTTCCTCGAAAGTTTTGAGAAAAGAGTATCTTTTCTTCTTTGATTGAATCCTTGGTTTAATCTGATTCTTCGATTGCTTCTTCCTTCTTCTTCATCTTACATTGTCTGTGTGCTTCGAGAGAACCAACGAGCTCTTCGACTGAGAACGTCGAAAGGTCCTTCGATTCTTCTATTACACACACAATATTCTCAAATTTATCTGTTAAAGATCTCAAGATATTTTCAACAACTCGTGCATCAGTTAGTGTTTCTCCATTTCTGGTGAGTTGGTTCACCATCTTTTGTACGCGTGTGATGTAGTCAGATACAGTTTCTGTCTCTTTCATCTGCATCCTTTCCAATTCTCCCCGAAGAGTTTGGAGTCGAACTTGCTTCACTCGGTCTGCTCCTTTGAACACTTTCTCTAACATGTCACATGCTTCTTTCGACGTTGTTGAATCGGAAATCTTTTCGAAGCCTGATTCGTCAACAACCCTGAACAACATGTATAATGCTTTTTTATCCTTCGTCTGCGTCTCTTTCAACACATTAGTTTGAGTTGTCGTATGTGCCGCAACATCTGTTGGTTCTTCAAACCTATCTCTGGTCACCTCCCGCGCGTCTAGAGATCCAAGAAGAGCTTTCATTTGGATACTCCATTTTTCGTAATTTGACTTCGTTAGCCGTGACAACAACATTTGATTCATCATGTTTGCCATTAGCTCTGATGCCAATTTGTTAGAGAAAATGAGCAAACTTTTATATCTTGTTGTTTTAATAAAATACAATC